AACACAAAGGAAGTAATATAATTATTAACAAATAATAATATCTATTTACCTAAATTAACAGATGCTGGTCAAGAAAAGGATGAAAAAGATCATATGTATATTAATATTTATGGCTTGTCTTGAAGGTCAAAAAAGGTATTTTTTTTTGTTAGTATTATACTAGTAAAAATTTGATGATTGATATTTGGTATATTAAATGATATATATAGCATATCATTCAATGCATCCAAAATCAATTGAATATATAACAAAATTCAATATTTCAGATCTTAATTTATTAATTATATAAAATTTTGATATTTTTTATTTTAATAGTTAATTAAACTATTATATAACATCCTTGATATGACTACAAAATCTAATTTTAGACATCTTCATTGACTATCATATATACTGATAGCACCTTGGTCTGATAATGTCCCTGATTAGGCAGTAAATGAAAATAAAGATGATGAAAGTAATTATAATGATGAGGATAAGGATGAGAATGTGAAGGAAGAGGAGAAAGAAGAGGAGGAAGAAGAAGAGGAAAGTAGTAGTAAAAAAAGAGGCTATAAAAGTAAAAATAGTAACAATAATGAAGACACACAGATGTGTAAAAAAAGAATCAATAAAAAATCAGCTTCTGATTCTATAAAAGAATAATGAAAGAAGTGAAAGGTTTAATCTTTTTTTAGAAAAATCTTTTTTATAAATTTTGTATCTATTTTTTTATTTTATTTTGCTAATAAAAATATATAATTAGTAGCAAGTTTTGAATGCTTTTAATAACCTGGTTTTAATTATATATATAGTAATATATATTCAGTATAAATTTTGTTTTTAAAATTTGATACCCGAATTTTAAATGAATTAAAATTCACTCAGAATTTGGGTGTCAAATTTTTATATTTGAGCTAAAGGTTATTAGTAATCAACTGCTAATTATAAGTCAATTTATTATATTATTCAACTGTTAATTAAAATGGCTGATTCAGCCTGAACTTGATTGTCAATTAATTAACTAAATTTATACCAAATATTTTTAGCAATTGACTGTCAATTAACTACTAATTTTGACTTGTCATTTGATATAAAATTAGCCAATAATCGACAGTCAAGTTCAGGCCAAATTAGGCATTTTAATTGGCAGTCGATTTTCTTATATTTGACTAATAGTAATTTATACAGATAATTGTTTTGATCAAAATAAGAATAATGCTATGATAGCATATTTATCTTAAAAAGTATTAACAGAATTGCATAATAATATAACTTATTGTTTTATGGTTGCAGAACATATTAAATTTAGTTTAGATAGATTTTTTAGATTTATAAAATTACTTTTATAGAAATCTAAAGTAGACAATCTTGAAGATTTAGTTAAAGTAGTTCAAAATTCAACTTCTAGTAAATATAATATTATATAAACAAATTTTAATAATAATAAAAATCAATTAGTACATTTTTATAAATGGACAAATTGGTTAAAACAACAATTTACAACAATTTCAAATATTTTAAAACAACATTATTTTGAATTTAATAGTTTATATCAAGAAAATATTAAAATTAGCACATCATCATATAGAGAAAAAACTATAATACAAATTAAAAATCTAAATAAGATAATCTAAATCAATTAATTAAAAAAAAATATCAAATTTAAGTGCAAAACAACAATAGTATCTATATGAACAAATAAGAAATCATATAAAAAATCTTAGTAAAAAAAATAATCTTTGTCCAATGTCTATTATAATTAAATCAGTAAAATCTAAATAAAATATATATTTTATATTTTATATATTTTTTATTTTTATATATAATTTTTTAATAAAAATATTTTATATTTTCTAAATAAACTAAATATTAATTGATTAAGTTTTTAAAAATTATTTTATAACAACTACTTAACCAATCATATAATATAAACTTTAAAATCTCAATATAAATATTAAAAAAAAAATATAATTAAAAAAATTTTATTAATAAAACTAAATCTATAAAAAATCTTTCAATAAACATCAAAATTTTTAAAAAAACTTATAAAATTTAACAGTAAAATGTTAACCAAAGACTACTTTCAATATTTATTAAAGAAATTTCATATAATTCTCTAGATCTGAAAATTACAAAAAAATTTATCAGTAAAATACCAAAAGACCTAAAAACAGTCCAAATTCAGAAAAACTTAAAGAGCATATCAATAAAATACTGAAAGACCAGAAAAATTAGAAAAACCAGAAGACCAGAAAGACTACAAGAAATTTTATTAAAAAATCATTGAAATATAAATTAATTAGTAAAATTTGAAAGAACAAAAAAAAACCTCAATAATACAAAATTACTAGAAAAACCAGAAGATTAGAAGACTACAAGAAATTTCATCAAAAATTGTCAAAAGAAAATTATTAGAAAAACTGGAAGATCAGGAAAGACCATAAAAAATCTTACAAAAAATCATTAAAAGATCTAAAAATAAAGAAAATTTAATTAGTAAAACCTGAAAAAACAGAAACTAGACTCAGCAACACAATTATAATTATTGAAAAAGCCAAAAGACTAGAAAGACTACAAAAAATTTTATCAGAATCATTGAAAGACCTAAAGAAAAGAAAACTAATTAGTAAAATCTGGAAGAACAGAAAAAACCCTAACAAAAACAATTAAAATTACCAAAAAGCTAGAAGACCAAAAAGATCACAAAAAATTTTACCAGAAAATTACTGAAAAACTTAAAAACAAAAAATTAATTAGTAAAATCCAGAAAAACAAAAAAAACCAAACAACACAATTAAGATTATTAGAAAGTCAGAAGTTCAGAAGAGACTACAAGAAATTTTATCAGAAAATTGTTGAAAAAACTAATGACAAAAAATTAATTAGTAAAATTCAAAAGAACTGAAAAAAACTCCAACACAACTAAAATTACCAAAAAGCCAGAAGACCAGAAAAGATCACAAGAAATTTTATCAGAAATTAATAAAAGATCTTAAGACAAAGAAAATTAATTAATAAAATCTGAAAGAACAAAAAAAACTCAACAACACAATTAAAATTATCAGAAAGCTAGAAGACTAGAAAAATCAGAAAAAATTTCACAAAAAAATTGCTGAAAAATATAAAGACAAAAAAAATCAATTAATAATTCTAAAAGAACAAAAAAAACCTAATAACAATTAAATTACCAAAAAAACTAGAAGACTATAAGAAATTTTATCAGAAAATCATCAAAAAACCTATAAAAAAAAAACTAATTAGTAAAATCTAGAAGAAAAAAAAAACAATTACAATTATCATAAAAGCCAAGAGATTACAAGAAAATTCATCAGAATTATCAAAAGACTTAAAGAAAAGAAAATTAATTAGTAAAATCTAGAAAAACAAAAAAAACCCAACAACACAATTAAAATTATCAGAAAATTGAAAGACCAAGAAGACCAAGAAATTTCACAAAAAAATCACTAAAAGATGTAAAGATAGAAAATTAATTAGTAATTTTAAAAGAACAAAAAATACTCAATAATATAATTAAATTATCAGAAAAACTGAAAATCACAAGAAATTTTACTAGAAAATTGTCAAAAGACTTAAAGAAAAAAAACCTAATTAGTAAAATCTGAAAAAACAAAAAAAAAAAAATTACAATTATTATTAAAACCAGAAGATCACAAAAATTTTATCAAAATCATTGAAAGACCTAAAGAAAAGAAAATTAATAAGTAAAATCTAAAAGAACAGAAAAAAACCAATAATACAATTAAAATTACCAGAAAACTGGAAAACTAGGAAGACCACAAGAAATTTTATAAAAAAATTACTAAAAGATGTAAAGACAAAGAAAATTATTTAATAATTTTGAAAAAATAAAAAAAACTTAATAATATAATTAAATTATCAGAAAAGTTGGAAGACCACAAGAAATTTTATCAGAAAATCATCAAAAAATCTAAAGAAAAGAAAACTAATTAGTAAAATCTGAAAAAACAGAAAAAAAAAACCTTAATTACAAATTATCATAAAAACTGGAAGACTATAAGAAATTTTATCAAAATTGGCAAAAGATCTAAAGAAAAAAAAATTAATTAGTAAAATCTGAAAGAACAGAAGAAACCTAACAATACAATTAAAATTATAAAAAATTGAAAGACCAAAGAAGACTATAAGAAACTTTACCAGAAAATCAAAAGACTTGAAAACATAAAATTAATTAGTAAAATTCAGAACAGAAAAAAAAACCCAACACAATTAAAATTATCAGAAAGCTGAAGACCAGAAGAGATCACAAGAAATTTTATCAAAAATCGACAAAAGACCTAAAGACAGAAAATTAATTAGTAAAATCTGAAAGAACAGAAAAAACCCAACAACATAATTAAAATTACTAGAAAGCTAAAAGAATAAGAAAGACCATAAGAAATTTCATAAGAAAATTGCTGAAAAGCCTAAAAACAAAGAAAATTAATTAGTAAAATTTAAAAGAACAGAATAAAAATAAATAACATAATTAAATTATCAGAAAAGTCAGAAGACCAGAGAAGACTACAAGAAATTTCATCAGAAAATCGTCATAAGACCTGAAGAAAAAAAATTAATTAATAAAATCCAAAAAAACAGAATAAAGAAAATAATTGTTGAATCATAACCCACTAGCGCTAGATTTAAAACAAGAATCGTTGTATAGAATTTTCTAATGTTATTTTTAGATTGTAATTTTGGATGATCACGTGATAAGCCGCAGTTTTAAACCTGATTTACTCAAAATTATTTATATGTAAAAATGGTCCCTTTCATATGAGACACCCCATATAGTAAAATCGCATTTCTGACACTTTTACTTAGTGCATCAAGACCAGTTTAAATAGCCATTTTTTATATTTTCGTGTTTTTGGATTTGTCGAGTTGTTCGGAATAATGCGGGACGCATATCGGGTAATTTAGTAAGGTGCCAGGCTTTTAACGACCCCCTTTTTAGGCATGGGATTTGTAATTTACGGATACTTTATCGAAATTCTGAGAAGCGAGATCCGCAAATGTCAACACAGCGAGGATCCAATGAATTAGACAAGAAATTAACATACGCGATAAAATGTGATAATGTAGTCCTTGTTGAACAACTTTTGAAAGAAGGTGCAGATGTGTGGTCCAGAGACGAGAATGTAGGTCATTCATTTTTGAAATTCTTTTAATGAATGTATCAGTTTATTTTGCACTCGCTATTTTAGGGTGTAAGTCCCCTACATTTTGCTTGTGAAAGTGGAAATTTAGATATCGTAAAATTATTACTTCTCAATGGCCATGCTTGGAATGCCATCGATATTGATGGTGTAACTGCCGGGGAGTACGCTAAACGCAACGGCCATGATATCGTTTATGAGCAGCTTCTCGAAGAAGGATGTAGAGCAGAGTTAATACTTGGTACTTACGTAAATATTAAAATTTTTTAATTGTGCGTATTATTGGTTTGTATATAATATGTTTGTGACGTTTATATGTAAAGGACTACTTGATACAAAAGAAAAAAACAGTCAATGTTCGAATTTCGATTATCTGTCTCAACCGCTTAAGTTTTCAGAAGATGGCACAAAGTTATTAGATTATGAAAATAATGGTGTTATGATGGGATGGGAAATGCCTTTAATGGAAAAACATGCTGAAATAATATGCACTAGAGAGGATCTTGACATTCTAAACGTTGGATTTGGTCTTGGACTTGTTGACACTGCCATCCAAAAATATAAACCGCGTACACATACAATTATTGAAGCTCATCCAGATGTTTATAAGCACATGCTGGATAAAGGCTGGGATAAAAAGCCTGGTGTAAAAGTCATTTTCGGACGATGGCAAGATTCACTAGATCAACTTGAAGTTTACGATGGTATATTCTTTGACACTTTTGGTGAATTATATGAAGATTTTCGGGAGTTCAATAATGAACTTCCTAATTTCCTTAAGCCAGAAGGAATATATTCATTTTTCAATGGTTTGGGAGCCACTAATTCCTTTTTTCATGATGTTTACTGTAGAATAGCAGAAATGCATCTAGCCAGCGTGGGATTTCAAACAAAATTTATAGAGATTCCTATCGATCTATCTAGTGAAAAAATTTGGGAAGGTGTTAAAAGGCGATATTGGACATTAAATACTTATAGATTGCCTATATGTCGATTTTTAACAGAATAATTTAGAGCCCAATGCGATATTTTCATTATGAATGTTATACACATTCTTTGTTCACTTTAGTTTATAAAATTAAACTCTTTACTTTGGTACATCGTATTAAGTAATGTTATTCATTTTACAATACAGCAGGTCCTTTGCAACATGTAGTCCATATGCATAAGTGTATAGTCTACTATCGATCCATAAATTTCCAGCATGTTGTTTCTGTAATTCTGTTGAGTCACAGACTTTGTTATTATAGTAAAATACGATGATCAAGTATATGATATTTGACAAATTATTTTACCCTGTAATCTTTCATATAGATTTTCTAGAGGAATTTTAATAACTTGTAGGCTCCATTCCTCACCATCCAATTTTTGTGTAGGAGAAACATTATCAACTGACGTTAAATCGACCTTTTACATAAAAAGAATAAATAGATTAATATATAACAAGACAGATAATTGATGATTACAACTTAAATATATTTACTTCAACATCAACAACCCTTGTCATGGAAGTTGTCAACCCCGGTTCGTAACATATGGGATCTGACATACTTTGTATCTTACCTGTATAGCCTGTTTCTTCACGAAGTTCACGAAGCGCTGCTGTTTCGATTGATTCTCCTGCGTCGATTAACCCTTTGGAGGACACATTTAATGTGAATAAAATGATTGCAAATTAATGATTACAAATTAATGATACACTTTGTAATACCTGAAGGAAATTCAATACAATATTTTCCAATGGGTGGTCGGTATTGCACCACCAAAATTATTAGAGGAGAATTTACGTTTTTAATTACTGCATGAATATCAACCGCTATTGAAATATAAGTAAAATTATTAACGAACAAAACTTAAGTGTTAAAATATCAGCTTTACCGTCAACGTCATGCTTAGACTCCGTTTTTCTTCGACACACTTCCCATTTCCTTGTGACATTTAACTTTGGATCGATATATTCAATTTCCTCCAGTTCAAGCCAATTACCTGTGCCAAGCTTTTTAGAAATATAGGACTTTTCAACCGGTATGAGGTCAAAGTCACAATTACCAATCCCTGAACACATGATATTGAGAATGCAACTAATATCTTGAATCTGGCTGGCACACAATATGAACGTAGGATTGATCGCATCATGGATTCAGTCACAGCATAGCGGGCTTTAATTCTGATTGGTCAATCATATTTAGGCAATAAGATGAGGGGGCGGGTATTAGAATAATACACACACGTGATAAATATGCTGCAATTTGATTGGCTATTCATCCTGTAAAATAATATAATCAATACGGGTTTGTACAGTATATCGAAATTATATACAGTCAGACTCTTCTCTTGGGCCCAACTAATATTACATTTATAGATTTTTACCTCCCCAAATGCAATACCTCTCTAAGTGCACGTTTACTAAATTTTATATATGGTCCTGTCGCATTGCATTTAGGGAGGTTTGACTATACTTAAAGTGCTAACTAATATACTCGGATATTTGTAGACTTAAGATATACCCGGTATATATATTTTTTTATTCAACTTTGCTAATCATCGATGTTTTATACCAAATATATATTTTTAAAAGCATGAAAATACCAGGGACCCGGGACGTCATATGGCGGACTTAATGGAGCATGAGTTATCTCACAGTTCGGTGACATACAGGGCCACACGCCGTCCGATGATCTTCGCAGAATGATAACTCTGGCCTTTAAGAGATGTGACAGATCCTAAAGGTGTCTAAGGACCTTCAGGATAGCGAAGGGAGGTAAAGATAAAAAAAAAAAAAAAAGCATGAAAATATTATTTTTCAAGTATCCAAACATAAACCAAACTTTGATTCAAATTACTTCCAGGTACAAAATAGGAGGATTGATTTAATAGTTATATCTGACAATAATGCAACTTAGAAATTTCTGTTAAAATCGAAACATTAAAAAAAATTTTTTTTTTTTATTAAATTTTATATTGTTAAATATAGTATGTTTTGATCAATCTTTGAAATACTATATTTTTGAATTAAAATGTCAATAATATATAATTTATTATGGATTTAAATTGAAATTTTTTAAACAATTATGAATATTCTTATTTTTAGTATTGGCTTATGACCTGTTATGACTTATGATTTATAAAATTTATTATTTTATAATGTTCACCTTGGTTATATAAAGTCAAATATAATCTAAAATGATCAGTACTGCTTATTTTTATTTGCTCAATTTTGTGTTGTTTTATTGCATGACTGACCATAACAATAAATTTTTAATGAACTTATTTTTTATGACACTTCACAGTTTTACTATTAGTTTTGATTGTTGTTTTTGTATAAAAATTTTTTTTATTTTTTTGATAAATTTCATATAATAAATAAATTTGCTTAAAATATTCTTTTAAAGATTGCAACAAAGTTATCAAATTATCACTATTTTCACAGTAATAACAAATTAGATAATTTTCTACTTTGTGATTTAAATAATACAATATTTCAATTAGAGAATCATAGCTAATTTGTATATATACAAAGATTACTTCTTTCAAATAATAGTCTTTAAAAAAAATCGGAGCATCACATGAATATAAATAAAAGTCTAATATTTGTTAATAATCAGATTGTTATTATTATTTAAGGATTTGTTACTATATATGCAGCAATGTTTTTGGCAATTTTCATACTTTATATAATTTCAGATTTTCTTTGCAATTAGAATAGATTTTGGAATAGGCTCAGATTTTTTCTATGACTGCATATATGTTAGTTGATATTCTTCTGTAGTTTTGGTTCTATAAACATTCTAAAAAGTTGCATAATGATCTGTATTGTTTAATATTAAAATAACATATAGTATACAGTTATTTTTTTTTTTCAGTATTAAGGTAACCTCTTTGGTCTAAGCTTTTTATTAATACTTATAGCAAGTACATGTTTTATATAGATGTATTTATAATGAACTATTAGACAAGTATACAACTGGCTACACATGTAACTTTTCTATATTACCTATTTAAGGAGTCTGCTCGAGGGTTCCCTACCAGTTGTCATACCTAACACCTCTGCTTAGATGTTCTATTAAACCCTCTAATCTAACTCTAGTATTAATTTTACCAGATTATAGACCCAGATCTATTTGTATTTGATTATAAGACTATAATTATTAAACTATTATTATTCTCGAGGTAAATCTACCAGAATGAGCTGTATTCCTTTTTTACCACTAACCTGGTTTGATGCTATGGCCAAGACCAACATTTGCAGTTAAGGTTACTCCTTAAAATACTATTACTCTTGTAAAATTTATCCAAATCCTGATACTCATCTTTTCGACTTCTTCTTTATTATCCCCTATTAGCTGCAACTTGGAACTAACCAATTTGCCAAACTCCCAATTCAGATGGCCTGATATGGTATACTTATGTATCCTTTTCCTCTGGCGATTCTGGCAGTCTGGTTGGTTATATGCTTCTCTACATATCTTTGTCATCTGGTTTATCTAATCAGTTCTTATAAAAGTGTTTTATAAGCTTCCATCAGTTTAATGACACTATTGAAAGTTTGTACTACCTCTTTACTCAGGATTTCTAAATAAGTTTCTGTTTCTTTAGTTTCTTAGCCTTCTATGCTTAGTGGTCTTATTGTGGGTTTGCACTGAAGCCTTATACAATATCAGTTTTTCATATTTCTCTATATATATGTATTATGTAATGTTACACTTCGCATAGATGCCCTAAGCTCTCAATGTCAGGTCAGACCCGACTTGGTGTACCTAAGATTACAGATGCCTAAAACCCAACTGATTAGCAAGAGACAGTTACTGTAATACAGGTATAATTTTCAAAATTCATCGTCTGTGGGAATTGAACCTTAGACCTGCCACTTAAGGGTTGACAACCTATCCACTTCACTAGGTTGCCACATCCCAGTATAGTATATAGTTATATAAATATATATTATATAATTATATAAACAAAATATTAGAATAATAAATATATCTTTTGAAGAAATTAGATTTAGAAGAAAGTTTAACATATTAAACTCATATATTGAAAGATGAATTGACTTACAATACAAGTAGGAAATATTATTACATTTTTCATCTTTAAAGTTAATACATAAATAAGCAATAATCTTGTTGTAATTAATATTATTCAAAATCTCAAAAATTAGTTTTGGAACTTTCAAATACTGAATATTTACATATTTAAAAACTGTAAGCACATGTTTGGCAATAAGTATCAATAAATTTGATTAATATTGAATGTTGGTATATTTGTGTTTGTGTGGTTTCTTTAATTTTTAGAGTTGGAACTATTCTAAAAATTGATTGTAAAATTTATTAATGATATTTTATATAAAATAATTGATATAATAAAGTTAAATAAAATTTATTAATTTAGCTATAGTAAACTAATTTTATTTTATTTACTTTAAATACTTTTGTAATAGCATCTTGACTTGCAGAAGAGTAATATCTAAATTTATTATTTTTTAATCTAAGCTATTCTGTTTAGCTATTTAATATCTCTTGAATATTTGTAATACTTTTTTTCAACTCAAATTCTAATTTACTTGATTCTTAAGTTTTTTTATATATATTGCCCAATGTATTTACTATTTCAAATAAAGTTTCAGATTCAATACTCATTAAGTTACATTTTAATGCTACATCCTAAAGGCTCAAATTCAAAATACTTATAACTAGTTCTGCAGAATTTGTTTAGCTATAATTGGGTGCTATACGAACTGTAGTAAGTAAATTGAAATCTCTACAAAAAAAAAGACTAATTAGTGCAATTTGTACAGAACCATAATTACAATGATGATCTGGACCTCTATTGGTGTAAAGACACAAAATTGTTAGCACTTCTTAATAATGTTACAAAGTAAATTTTAAATAATATATTATATAGTAGTATTAGTAGTTATATATATTTATTATTGTATCTTATATTTATTATTAGCTATTAGTCATTAGTTAGTTAATAGTTATATTATATAGTAGATAAATAAAAAAATCT